TGCACTTTTAACCACGAGTCAATACTATACCACTTGTCTGGTAGGAAAAGGGAGCTGGTTGAAGAGCATCATTTCTATCTTAAATAAGGAACAGAAAGCCTAACTCCTAAGAACTGACACTTGGTATATACCCAAGAGAAATAGAAACATATGTCCACCAAAAACTTGTAATCGTATACAGTAACATTAATATGTAGTGAAGTTCAAACTTTAAAAATCCAGTGGTACCACTAGTTAGACTAGAATGCCTTTGGATCAAGGTTCAACTCAGGTCATTACATGCCCATCCGAATTTTCAGTGGTCTCCAACTTGTTCAAACAGGCTTGCAGACTTGGTTGTACAATATAATGCTACGCTAAACCAATGCAATGATCAAATATACATTTTATATTTTAGAAACCTATGTTGAGGAATCTGACTAGAAAGTCTACATTCAAGATCTGTTTGGGAGCTTTTTCCTTTCTTTTTTAAAAAGCCTTATTAAGATACAAATGATATACCATAATTTACCTATTTTAAGTATACAATTCAATGTCTTAAAATGTATTCACAAGGCTATGCAACCATCTACCACAACCTAATTTTAGAACATTTTCATCACCCAAAAAAGGAACTCTGCACCCATCAGTAGTCACTCCCCTTTCACTCCAAGTCTCCTCTTCCCCCAGCCCCTTACAACTACTAATCTACTTTCTATCTCTACACATTTTCCTGTCCTGGACATTTCATATGAATGAAATTATGCAATATATGATCTTTTATAACTGACTTCTTTCACATAGGATAATGTTCTCAAAGTTCATTCATGTTGTAGCAGGTATCAGTACTCCATTTTTATTGCCAAATATCTCATTGTATGAATATACAACATTTTATTCACCACTCGTCAGCTGGTGGACATTTGGGTTGTTTCCACTTTTGACTATTATGAATAACACTGTTTGAAACATTCATCTACAAGTTTTTGGGTGGATATACGTTTCTATTTCTCTTGGGTATATACCAAGGATCGAAATTGCTGGGTCATATAGTAACTATATGTTTAACTTTTTGAGGATCTGCCAGACTGTTTTCCAAAGTGGCTGAACAATTTTACCTTCCCATTAGCAACACGTGAGAGTTGCAGTCTCTCCGTGCCTTCACCAACACTTGTTATTGTTTTTCATTATAGTCATCCTAGTGGGTACGAAGTGGTATCTCAACTAACCAGAAATGTAAGGGTTGAGTTTATTTTTGTATTAGCATGCCTTACATACTCCTCCAAAAGTTATAATTAATTAAATTGATCTGTTTTATTGTTTGGGAAATATCTGATGTATTTCTAGAAAAGAGAATTTGCAAAGTATACATCAACCCATAGAATATGACATCTTAAAGATCACTTTAAGTCCCCTCCATGTTTTGTAAGGAATATTAGTTTTCAAATCAAAATATTAGATTAATAATACCTGAAATAATTATAAGAAAAGTAATAGTGGGATATTTTGGGCCCGGAACTGTGCTAAACTCTTTCAGCATGTGTAACATTTAATCTTCACAAGAAGATTTTAAGCTCAGTGTATACTTGTTTCCCCAGATGAGAAAACTGAGGCTTGGAGGGGTTAAATAACTTGCCTTACACAGCTAGTAAGTCACTTGACCATTTCCAAATCTCAGATGAACTGATCACACTCTGTAAAACAGGTATAACTTGTAGATATTACCTAATAGCAGATATAAAAGTCTAAATGTTCCCTCAGGGTCTGAGAGCATGGCCAAACAGCCCAGCCCGCTACAAACCTGAAATTTCGTTGAAGGCCCCATGTTTAATCTTTAAATTCATGCAAAAATTTTAATCTCTATAATATATGTGTTTATTTTAACTAGATAATATATGTGTTTATTTAAAATGCAGCTGAGTCCTGGAGGTAACACACAGAAGTAGGGAATTCCTTTTATTGTCTTCCTCATCCTTTTAAAATTACAATTAAAATGTTTCAAGAACTGTACATACTGCCTCTTCTAAAGCCATCGAGAACTATCCCTAGGTCTCCCTGAAAGAGCCCTTGGGGTCACAGGATTCTTCTGATAACATTGCTGTGTCTGACTAATGGACTCCACATGTTCCTGAAGCATGGCTATAAAACAATTTCCTTTAAGCAAATCTTATTTTCATACTGACTTACATTATGGGAGTGAAGATGTATTCCCACAGGAGCAAAGCAACGTAGCCCCAACATGTAATTTGGAAACAACTGCATCTGCAGGAAAGCTTTTTAAAATCACATATTTAAAAAGAAAGTGTATCATTTTTGATAAAACAATTATAAAGCCAAACTAAGTCACAAGGAGAAGAAACAGCGTGCTGAAACTCAAAGATCCTGTGCCAGGATCTGCATTTCCTCCTGCAGTAGCTTCCTCGAAAGGAAATTCGTCTACTGTGTACTCTGGGCTTTATAGTCAGTCTGTTACTGGTTTCAAAAAGAAAAAACAACCCAATCCAAAAATGGGCAGAAGACCTTAACAGACATTTCTCCAAAGAAGATATACAGATTGCCAACAAACACATGAAAGGATGCTCAACATCATTAATCATTAGAGAAATGCCAATCAGAACTACGATGAGGTATCTCCTCACACCAGTCAGAAGGGCCATCATCAAAAAATCTACAAGCAATAAATGCTGGAGAGGGTGTGGAGAAAAGGGAACACTCTTGCACTGTTGGTGGGAATGTAAATTGATACAGCCACTATGGAGAACAGTATGGAGGTACCTTAAAAAACTAAAAATAAAACTACCATACGACCCAGCAATCCCACTACTGGGCATATACCCTGAGAAACAATGTTCATTGCAGCTCTATTTACAATAGCCAGGACATGGAAGCAACCTAAGTGTCCATCGACAGATGAATGGATAAAGAAGATGTGGCACATATATACAATGGAATATTACTCAGCCATAAAAAGAAATGAAACTGAGTTATTTGTAGTGAGGTGGATGGACCTAGAGACTGTCATACAGAGTGAAGTAAGTCAGAAAGTGAAAAACAAATACCGTATGGTAACACATATATATGGAATCTAAAAAAAAAAAAAATGGTTCTGAAGAACCTAGGGGCAGGACAGGAATAAAGACACACACAGAGAATGGACTTAAGGATATGGGGAGGGGAAAGGAGAAGCTGGGACGAAGTGAGAGAGTGGCATGGACATATATACACTACCAAATGTAAAACAGCTAGTGGGAAGCAGCTGCATAGCACAGGGAGATCAACTCGGTACTTTGTGACCACCTAGAGGGGTGGGATAGGGAGGGTGGGAGGGAGACGCAAGAGGGAGGGGATATGGGGATGTTTGTATACGTATAGCTGATTCACTTTGTTATACAGCAGAAACTAACACAACTTTGTAAAGCAATTATACTTCAATAAAGATGTTAAGGAAAAAAAAGGGGAAAAAAGTGTTAAAATGCTTAACATTTTTGAATGTGTTAATTAAGGTTGATCTCTTGGGTAATCCATGGTTGGAGCCATTGATGGGTTTGCTTAATATTCTTTGTATTTTTTTCCATAGTGAAAATGGGTTTATTCTACGTATGGATGTCTTCATAATCCTAAGTTTTTTCCTCTGGGACTTGATTTTCACAACTGGTGTGCAGTTTTCTGACTTAGCAGTCAGAAAAAGAAAGGAAAGACCTGCCAGTCTGCTGATCTTGAAATTTAATAATTTCTGAAGGTCTTTCCTAAACCTATTAAATGAGCATGATGGAGCAGCAAAAAGGATAACTTCTCAGAGCATGATCCTGCCCTATATGCGTTGTACCAGGCAAACTGGTGAAGCAGGCAAGCCAGAGGTCTATTTGCAAGAGAACTAAAATGTATCTCGGGAAGAACACATCCTAAGAGAAAAGGGTCAGAGTGTAAAGAGGAGAATCCAGCAAAAAATTGACAGCACTCTCAAATTGAATAGTTGAAGAGTTTTTAATACAGATGCTCTATACAAGGGTGTGGCCAGAACTTAGGGAAACCAACAAGATCTGGCGCAATGTCTCAGGGCGAGACTGTGTGGTCACTGGAATATGGAAAGAGAGGACTCCAGGTGAAGAGGGAGGGTATTGGGGGAATAAATACCCTAACCTTATTTTCCTCTTAACTTCCATCTTCTACTGGTTCCTCCCATTGGTCAAACCCAACCAAATGCCAAAGGGCAAGGGAGCCCGTTGTGTCCACTTGGGTGTCAATGTCCTCCAGCCGAAGACCTCCAGGAACACAGCTGTAATTGATCAATTGGGTTTATTGCTCATTGGAGTGGACAAGAATGCACACCCTAGAGAACCTTGGGGAGTCATAGTAAGGGGATGTCAGAAAGGATTTATTTCTAAAATTTGGGCTGGTGGTGGGTAATTTGGGGAAGCATTGAAGAAGGGAGAGGCTTTGCTCTGTGTTGGATGCTGTTGGGAAGTGAGGCAAAACTTCTGTATCTACAGCCTCACACCTTTGCTCCCTCATTCCAGATAAGATTTATTCAGATACTCAATCATAGACTTGCCACACTTCCTCATAGCATCCCCCTCCTCTAATTAAAATGCTTCGTGGCCGTGTTTGTGGCTCGGATGACGTTCACATTTTTGTGTGTTCCAATGTGAGTGTAGATTGCTCTTGCTGTCTTGATCCCTGCGGGTCACAGCCCAGCCTGTCTGATGCTGAGGTTCTACGCTAGATTCAAAGCTCTGCCTCTCCACATCCACCCAACTGTGGAGTCAGGGAGGCTGATCCGTGGGCAAGAGAAAAGCAGTTCCTATTCTCCAGGACCTAGCCTGATTCAATCAGGCCTTTGGGCTCTACGGTTGAACATAACTTTTTTTTTTTTTTTTTTTGCGGTACGCAGGCCTCTCACTGCTGTGGCCTCTCCCATTGCGGAGCACAGGCTCCGGACGCGCAGGCTCAGTGGCCATGGCTCACGGGCCTAGCCGTGGGATCTTCCCGGACCGGGGCACGAACCCGTGTCCCCTGCATCGGCAGGCGGACTCTCAACCACCGCGCCACCAGAGAAGCCCTGAACATAACATTTTTATAGAGCCTCAACATGAGACAAGACCACGGAAGATGCAAGGTTCTGAGTCCAACGTGATGTTTGTCATCAGGCCACATCTCTGAGCCCAACTCTGCATGGGGAAAAGTAAGAAGTGATACAACTGCTTCCCTTGAAAAGCAAAGCCACTTACAAAACACTAGTGCTCCCAATGCCCTGCCTTGGGCTGCCTCCTAACAGAATATGACACAAAGGGAAGAGGGCCTTCTTTCCCATGTTACTGAAGGTCACTGGACACTGTGCAACTCAGGCACCTAGGAGGCAGAGTTAACTCTATGAAGGTTTCTGGCAGGGCAATGGGGGAGAACTGCAGTCTGGCACCTGATTGGAAAATGATGCTCAGTGAAACAGAGGAAGCCATTGGTCCATGAGCACAGAAGGGATTCCCCCTGGGGACCTCCAGATACACACAAGGGGATTTGCAGGAAGCTGAGATCTTGAATTATATAGAAGGAAGGAAAGACCAGAGAAATTTGGGCTTACCATTATTGTAACTTTGTTAATATCCACGGTCTGTTGAGGCATAGTGGAACCTAGTATAAATATTTTAAAACACCAAATCAACTAATTTTATATGCATTTAATTAAAAGGAGCTTCTTCCTCAGTTTGGCTATGATGCACAATGCACTTTTAACAGCTTTGTGCATCATTTCCAACCTGTAAATGTAGATAATATGCTTACTTATTTATAAGGTTCTTTGAGGTTTGCGGATGAAAGGCTCTTTTAAAGTACAAAGCATTAATTTTTTGTGACAGAGTGCTATACGAGAAATGAACATGAAGCGATATAAAAATTTTTGTCTTCTTTCTTGCTTTCAGTTTTTAGGTGCTTTCTGCACAGAGACACAAAAGCCAGTTTCCAACAAGAGATCTGGGGGTTGAGATAACAGAACTAATAAAGTGCTGTAAGTATAAAATCCTACATAGGCTTGAATGGGCTACTCCTTTTGAAGATGAGAGAAATAAATTGAGAGACAAAGTATTTTGTACAAATGAACTCATTTCAGTAAGTTGCACTGATAATCCTATGAGTATGTAAATGGACCTCTATTTATAGACCCGTTATATCCATTTTTGACCAGGACGAGCCAGTGAAGCAATCGCAATAGTCAATCATTACAAGTAACTAGACCACAAGAGAAAAATGTGCCAGTTGCTAGGTGATGACTTTCAATCTATCATTTTAAGCAATAAATATAAGATGAAGTTATGAGGAGAGAAGCTATTCATAGCTAAAACTCTAGCTAAAATGGCTATTATTTATTGCACGGAACTGAAATCGGATGAAGTTGAGAAACCCAACGTACCAACCCAGAAACCAAGATGCTACACCAGCGGACATCTTTCAAGGACAAACCCAAAGGTCAATAGAGAGCAAGGATTTAGGAGGAGGATGGAGAGGAGAAAAAAGCTAAAAAAAAAAAAAAAAAAACTGGACTCGACTGTGTCGCTTATTATCATGCTTCAAAACATAAAAGGAAAAAGTATTTGATTCATTATTCAGAACTTTCCCATTTCTGAAAAAGACAAAAAGTCCCCCAGACCCTATCAGTTAGCTAGCAGGTGGCAATAATGTACTTGGTACAATGACATATGCGAATGCTGTGTAAGACCCTGCCCTCTGAGAGCAGGGAAGTCAGTTTGGAAATACAGGTAATGCAAGTGAAACAATCAGAGAATCACAAAAGGCATTAAAATCCATTAGGTAAAACCTATGTCTGGCCTAAAGCAAGTGCTCAATCAATGCCAAGTTAACAATTAAAAATTATATAGTGTGTATTATTGCTGGTTCTATAAGGCAGAGACCTCAGCTGTCTAAAGCACAGCTGAGAATTCCAAAGCCCAAGGACAAGCCCCACCCCTTTCACTACCCGTTTACTTTTGCAAACCCGATAATCTAGAAGAGTGGTTCTCATACTTTAGCGTATGCATTAGAATCACCTGGAGAACTTGGTTAGACACAGATCCCTGGGTCTCACCCACAGAGTTTCAGACCCAGTAGGTCTGAGTAAGGTAATTTGCAGTTCTAATGTGTTCCCAGGTGATAGTGATATTTCTGATTTGGGGAGCACATTTTGAGAATTACTGGTCTCAAAGATTTTAAGTAAATTTCAAAACACGAAAGAGGATAATAAAAACAGCTAGTATTTAATGTACTCACGATGTCACTATGCTTCAAATCCTCCATTAGGGGATAGATAGATGATAGATAAAGAGATGTTAGATAGATAGATAAATAGATGATAGAAAGTCTCTAATTTTCATATATGCACAAACACAAAGATAGGCATTACTTATTTCTAATTTTATAGATAAAGACCTAGAACTAGGCTTGGAGAAATTAAAACACTTGCCTACAGCATGTAAGAGGTAGAACACAGGCTTGAACTCTAGCCTGTCTCAATTAAAGCCCACACCCCTTCCCCATACTGTTCTGCATCTCTGCGAGGCAGCAGTCACCTGCCAACAGCAAAAAGATATCAGCTTACAGTGTTGGAAGAGCTTAAAAATCAATCAAAACCAGAAAGAACAAAAAATGCACAGTAGCCGGGGGTTTTTAAGGCAAGACAAGACAGCCTGACCCTCTGCAAGCTGGAGAGAAGGGACAAGTGTGAGCCGCACAGTTTCATTGCTTGGGGTGACCCCTGACAGTGGTGGATGGATTTCCCTGCATTGAACTTGACCCCCAATAATAATTATATGTGGAAGCTGAGAGGGTAAGAGCTATAGAAAGTGTCTCCTCTCCCTCCTCCTTACATGAAGAAGAGCCCTTGGTTTCCCAGGCCAAGAGTGGCCATGTAACCCTTTCCCTTCATCGTATCTCCTAGCCATACTCTTGCTGCCTGGCCTGAGATGACTCAAGCCACTTGGGTTTTGCTCCACCCAGATATTCTGATTTGACTCATCAAGGCATCAGTGTGTCTTCAAAGCTCTCCCAGGTGGTTCTGATTGTAGCCAAATACGAGAAACACTGTGTAGTGTCTTGTCTTGGTTTATATCTACAATCTCTCTTTCTGCTGCTTTCTCCCCCCCCTAAAACATGCTCACTTTATCCAAACTCTAGGAAAACAATACTTACATTGACCTCGCATCTCCACAAATTACTTGCCATCTATATTCTTAAAAATAGTGGAGGTTATACATACTTGTTTATTTAGACCCATTCAGTATTTAACCCCTCAAAAGCAGGCTTCGGGCTCTAGTATCCCATCCACGCAGGGTTTTTTGGCTTTCTTCTGGTTTTGTATTTTAATCTCAGATACTGATAACCTACAACTTTTTCTCATTCCTCACCTTCCTCAACTTTAATGATGTGGTTGATACTAGAGACCATTTAATCTTTGAATCCCTCTCAGGCCTTGAATTGGTGAACTTGCTTAATACTGCGTTTCCTACTACATTTCCTACCTTACCAACCATTGCTTTCATGTCACTTTTATTCTTTTCTCATCCTCTACCCTGTATTTGTAGAAATTCCTCAAAGTTCCATGCATTTCCATTTTCCCTTAGAAATCTTATCCATTTTCAGGAATCCAATGATCACTTTTTTAAAGGGTCTCTGCCATCCTTATCTGCTGCCCAAGACTCTCAAAAAGTCTAGACCTTGGGGCTTCCCTGGTGGCGCAGTGGTTGAGAGTCCGCCTGCCAATGCAGGGGACACGGGTTCGTGCCCCTGTCCGGGAAGATCCCACATGCTGCGGAGCGGCTGGGCCCGTGAGCCATGGCCGCTGAGCCTGTGCGTCCGGAGCCTGTGCTCCGCAACGGGAGAGGCCACAGCAGTGAGAGGCCTGCGTACCGGTAAAAAAAAAAAAAAAAAGTCTAGACCTAGATTCCACCTATATAGTCCACCTGTATATCCCTATCAGGATTTCAAAGTCAGCATGTCCCAAATGAAATCATTATGCTCTACCAATCTGTTTCTTCCCCGCCCTTCTTTTTTACGGAGTCACCCAAGGTTGAAACCTTGACATTTTCTGGGAGTCATCTTTGTTTTCTTCCTTTCTTTTCCTGCCAGTAAGAGCACATTCCCTATAATTATGCAATGCCTTCATTGAGGTACAATAAGCTACACCTAAAGTGTCCAATTTGATAAATTTTGACATATGTATATATCAATGAAACACACAAGATAGTGAACAGAACCATAACCCTTAAAAATTGCCTCAGGCTCTCCTTCCCAAATGTCTCTGTCCTCCCCACGCCAGATAACTCTCTGCTTTCTGTCACTAAAGGTTATTTTGCACATTTTAGAATGATATTGATCTTTTCCTGTGATTATTTGCCATTGTGTTCTTTTGTGAAGCATCTGTTTAATCTTTGGCTGAAATGTTAATTTATTTGTTAAACAAATTTATTATTATTATTACATTTTGAGGGCTCTTTATATATATTCTGAATACAAGCCCTTTGTGAGCTATATGATCTACAAATATTTTCTCCCAGTCTATGACTTGTCTATTCATTCTCATCACGGTGTCTTTTGAAGAGAAGTTCATAATTTTGATGAAATCCAATTTACTTTTTTCTTTTATGGATCATGCTTTTGGTATTGTATCTAAGAAATTGTTGCCTAATCCAAGGTGGAAAAGATTTTCTCCTGTGTTTCCTTCCTGAAGTGGTATAGTTACAGGCTTCACATTTAAGTCTACGATCTATACTCAGTCCGTTTTTGCATATAGCTTGAGATATATATCAAAATTCCTTTTTTTCTTTTGCATATGGATGGTATATTGTTCCACACCATTTGCTGGAAACTCTAACAAAACTCTTTCTCTGCTTTATTGAAATCAATTCATCGTACATGTGTGGATCTCTCTTTTTTGGTTTCTAGACCCTTTATTTTGTACCATTGATCAATCTGTCTACAAGGATGTCAATATGACACTATCTTGATTATTGTAACTTCATAAGTCTTCAGACAGGAAGTGTAAAGTTTGTTCATTTTGAAAGAATTGGTTATTTTAGGTCTATTGAATTTCTTTTTTTGAGGCATTTATTCCTCATTATTTTTTTTAATTTAATTTTATTTATTTTTTATACAGCAGGTTCTTATCAGTCATCCTTTTTTTTTTTTTTTTTTTTTTTTGCGGTACGCGGGCCTCTCACCGCTGTGGCCTCTCCCTTTGCAGAGCACAGGCTCCAGACGCGCAGGCCCAGCTGCCATGGCTCACAGGCCCAGCCGCTCTGCGGCATGTGGGACCTTCCCGGACCGGGGCGCAAACCCGCGCCCCCTGCATCAGCAGGCGGACTCTCAACCACTGCGCCACCAGGGAAGCCCTAGTCATCCATTTTATACACATCAGTGTATACATGTCAATCCCAGTCTCCCATTTCATCACACCACCAACCCCACCCCCTCTGCTTTCCCCCCTTGGTGTCCATACGTTTGTTCTCTGCATCTGTGTCTCAATTTCTGCCCTGCAAAGCAGTTCATCTGTACCATTTTTCTAGGTTCCACGTATATGCGTTAATATACGATATTCGTTTTTCTCTTTCTGACTTACTCCACTCTGTATGACAGTCTCTAGATCCATCCACGTCTCAACAAATGACCCAATATCATTCCTTTTTATGGCTGAGTAATATCCCATTGTATATATGTACCACCAATAGTGGCTGTATCAATTTACATTCCCACCAACAGTGCAAGAGGGTTCCCTTTTCTCCACACCGTCTGCAGCATTTGTTGTTTGTAGATTTTCTGATGATGCCCATTCTGACTGGTGTGAGGTGATACCTCATTGTAGTTTTGATTTGCATTTCTCTAATAACTAGTGATGCTGAGCAGCTTTTCATGTGCTTCTTGGCCATCTGTATGTCTTCTTTGGAGAAATGTCTATTTAGGTCTTCTGCTCATTTTTCGATTTGGTTGTTTCTTTTTTTAATATTGAGCTGCATGAGCTGT